TACAGAATTCTTATTTTGTCACTGAAAAGCGTCTTTGTCCTAAATGCAGCCTGAAGTACTAGTGCTAGATTGTGGAAGCCTTCAGTCCTGTATTGATTTGTGGTCTTATATGTTGTGAATTAGTAAGGAGTAAACATGTTTCATTAACTCAACCTTATCCTCGGAATAATCTCTTTCCCCCTTCTTTTTTCTTTTTTTTTTTTTTGGTTATCAGAAGTAGTACATGGAACTGGTATTAATAATATAATGCTTACATTTGCTCCTAAATATTAACCTAATGCTATTGATAAATTCAGGCATTTATAGATCAGGTTTTCTGACCAAGGTTATTTATCCTTTGGCAAAATCCTGGCAGCCTGAGTGGTTCTTGTAAAACTTAGTAAGTTTAATTATCAAGGCATATTTAACATTTAGTTAAGGGCTCACTTTTTTAGATTAAAACTTTGACATGGGTAGTATCTTCTTGCTTTAGAATAAAGAGCAAAGCAAAGTCAAAGCTGGAGACATTAATCCACCATCAATAGCTGATGACTGTGACTATATTGCCTTATCAATAGAAAAGGAACCCCTTCAAAGCAGGAAAACCTCCAACAGAATTAAGTCACAGTCATCTGTGTACTACTACAAAGTACTACTTTGGTGAGAAGGGTGATGTCAGTCTTTGTTGAGGATAAACCAAGGTTTGAGTATGGGGCAGGACATTCGGCCTTCCACCAGCTCATTTGCAACCCTCTCACCGGTGTTCAGCCTCCAAATAACGCAGAAACCTTTGCTTGCCACATAGCCTGCCGTGTCATCTGGCTTTTGCTTAGCGCAAATGGTCACTTGGAAGTGACATGTGCCTGTATTGGTCCTCTCTGGCATCACTGTGTACCAATGTGGTTATAAACAGGGACGCAAACAGGGAACAGAATGGTGGGAACCTCTGTTGTGTGGCTCACAAAGGTAACGGAGAACACGCCTACACCAGGTTTTCTAGGTGGAACTGCAAAATCAAATGAAAACAATTCTTACAGGGAATGCTCAGATGCCAGTGTGTACACACATCCAGATGGACCCTCAGGCCCAATTTGAGAGGGTTGAACTGATCAAGAGAGTCCGAAGACAACCTGTATATGAAGCATAAAATATTCACAAAGAAACAGGAGGCAGTGTGCACAACAGGAAATCGTCCAGGGAAGCTGGCTGGAGGGTGGGTGAGTTTTGAGCAAGTTTTTGGAGGTGTTTTGGTGGTGATGGAGGATAAGATGAGCATCTCTGTTATGTGTCTACATGTCCCAATTACTCATGACTGCTACAATCTGTCCACAGTAAGATAAGCATCACTGTCTAGTTCTCACATATGTCCAGCAAACCATGAGGCCTCCAAGCCATGGGCAGTGATGGCCAGGTCCAAAGCCATGTGCAGTTCAGTGGGCACTGCATACCCAGACAGGTAGAGCCTGGGGAGCCCAGGCTGTGGGGCAGGCACAGAAGTGCCAGGGAAGGCAGGGGATAAAGCTGCCAGGAGACCTGGGTTTCAACATTGGAACCCTATGGGCTCAGGTGACTACCTGCAAAGCCTTCTGCAGGGTGACGCTTTACAGCAGCCAGGTCCCTGCCAGACACCCAGGGAGCCTGAGATCCCACATCAGCAAGCAGAAGGAGGTGACAGGATAAGGCTGAGTTTTCCTTTGGTCTCATTACCACTGTGTCACCCTGAACTCCTCCCTTTCCTAATAATAATGATATTATCATAGCTAAGATCCACTGGCCAATCACTAGGTGCCAGGTTCTTCACTCTGCAATGATGATCTTTATTTTATAGATGGTAAAAATCAAAGCTCAGGGAGGTTAGAAAGCCAGGTTTACAGAGGAAGCAATGATAAGACTAACCCAGGTAGGCTGGGTGCAGGGTCTGCGATCTCCTTCTTTTTATCTGGAAATAATTTTAAACTTACAAAATAGTGGCATGTATAGGACAAAGAACTCTTCTACACTCTTACCCAGATTCACCAACTGCTAATTTGACATCTTTGTTTTATCATTCTCTCTATATACAGTCAGCCCTCTATATCTACAGGTTCTGCATATGTGACTTCAACTAACTGTGGATCAAAAATATTCAAAAAAAAAAATACAATAAAAAAGTATCAATTTAAAAACAATATAGTATAACAACTATTTACATAGCATTTACATTGTATTAGGTATTATAAAGAATTTAGAGATGATTTAAAGTATACAGGAGGACTGCGTAGGTTATATGCAAATAATGGCGCCATTTTATAACAGGGACTTGAGCATCCTTGGATTTTGTTATCTGTGGGGGGTCCTGGAACAAGTCTCCCTGAGGAGGGCAACTGTATACAAATTCTCTCTCTTTTCTGAATCATTTTAAAATAAGATGGAGAAATCTGGCCCTTTTAGCCCTCAATACTTTAGCATGTATTTTCTAAGAATGAAAACCTTCTGTTACACAACAAAAATTCATGAAATGAATATTGATACTATAATGATAATACTATTAACATATGATTTCTATTTTCTGGTCCAGAATCCAGTCTGGGATGAAGCATGGCATCCAGTTATCACATCTCTCTACTCCTTTCCAATCTGGGGCAGCTTCTCAGTCTATCTTCGACTTATGATCTTGACAACCTTTAAGAGTCAGGGCCAGCTATTTTCTAGTATATTCCTCAATGTCTGATGTTTTCTCATGATTAGGTTCAGGTTACGCATTTTTGTCAGGAATTAGAGTCTGTACAATTAGTCATTAATATGACCCCACCCTATGTGAATCTTTCTGGGACACTCACCTTGGAGCAGCCAGGATGAGGAAGGACTGAGAACCCCTATACTGTGTAGGATGCTAGAAGGAGTAGGGACACTTTCCTGGAGAAAAGAAGCCCGTGCACCCATGCGTCTTCAAATACCTGAGTTGCTGCCCAACAAGAGTGAGGCCGCTCCTGAGGAGTGGATACAATCCCTTCTACCTGACTGGACACACGTGGATGATGGTGACACGTGCAACCCAAGCCCCAGGCACAAGTGTGGACTGTGGCACATATGATTCCCATTCTGTCCTGCCCAGCACAGGTGTGCCAGCTGCTCCAGGGACCTAGAGTAAGAACTGCAAAAAGAAGTCACGGGGAGGTGGAGCTCAGCATGATCGGCTGGAGGAAGACTTCTCTAAAGACTATAACTGTTTGAGCATGGAGGAATCAGCTACTTTGTAGGGCAGTGAACCCCCTGCCTGGAAGTGGTCTAGCAAAAAACAAGAACAACCCATGTGGGCTACTCCATAGCGGGGAGTAGGGCTGGCCATGGTGTCCTCCAAAGCAGGACTCAGTGGATCCATGGACCTGTTGTAGCAGCATCACCTGGGATCCGAGAAATGCAGAATCCTGGGCCCCACTTCAGACCTGCAGAACCAGAATCTCTCTGAGAGGACGACCTAGGAACTGTGTCTTAATAAAGCTTCCAGGTGATTCTTAATGTGTGCACAATACTGAGAGAACTGCTCTAAGGTTCTTCTAACATTTCACAATTTTGCGATACTCAGCAAGGCATTTCTAGCTAGCCCAGGTTAAACAACTGATTCAATTGAGAATAACTCTCCCCATCAGTATCAGTAAAGGCTAAATAAATTCTGTTCCCAGCTTTTGCTAAGATGATGCATAAGCCTAAGCTCTGGGGAAATCTGAGAAGCCTGCCAGACTCTAAGCTCTCTTTTGAAACAAGTTGCCCCAACCCATTCCTTCCCACACAAAGTGCACCACTTGTGGTATGGGAGTGGCAAGAAATGAGACCAGACCTCTTGGCCACAGCTAAATGGACTAAGGATGGAGCCTGGGTCTAAAGCAGCCACCAGCTGGGGACATAGGGAGATGGCCATCCCTGCAAGCCAGCAGAGAGGAGGTAGGTCCCCTGAGAAAGGAGCCCCTGAACAGAGCAAATTTGGACAGCATCTCCAGTTCCTTACAATGGCTACTGTGTGACTCTCTTGGAAGCTCTGCGACCCAGCACAACTGTGGCAACTCCAGATGCCACTCCAGGATGTGCCATGATTCCTGCCACAAACCTCCACTGTCAAAGGACCCCGGGGTCTGTTTCATCACTGGGTGTGGCAATACAGCAGACTAGATCCCCAACCCCTTCCTGAGGCTTAGCTCAGAGCTGAGGAGCAACTACACAGCAAAGAAGGGGCCCTCTCTTAGCCTTTTCAGAATGGAGAAAACAGAGAAATTTGTAGCATAAGATTGTACCAATGGCAGTCACTACTGGCAGAGTGAAAGATCTGATTCTCTTACAGGTGCTGGAGTATGTACCAGTGAGGACATGGGAAGTCAGAGAAAACAAAAGGATTGATCCTTGTCCAGGTTAGCTAAGAAAGAGGATGTTGGCCTCTGGGTAGGGGAAAGAGATGAACAGTCTCACCATCTTACTTTACTGAGCACCTACTATGTGAGAGGTGCTGTCTTAAGCCCTTTTTCTGACCTATTTCATTTAAGCCTCACCCTCCAATGCAGTACCAGTATTATCCCCACTTTCTTTTAACATGAGAAAACCAAGTTTTAGTGGAGTTAAGTACCTTGCTTAAGTTCCTAAAGCTCAAGAAGGGGCACCAGGATTTGAACCTGTCTCTCACTCCAGAGGTCTTGTTCTTAGTACTGTGCTCATCTGTCATCAGACTTGGAGGAACACTCAATGGCAGAGAAGCAGAGTAAACTGTAGAGCTGTGAGTTTTTATTAGTCAAGGGCACAGCAGGTGTGGTGGCCCTGGAAATGTAGAACCACAGGCCCTAGACTGTAACTTAGCAACCCAAGGCTTCTTGCTGTAATTCCTCCCCACCCAGCCAGGCAGAGAGTACCCGGCTATGACAGGTGGCTTAGGGAGCTGTGAACATTCTCTCACCCTAAGGAGTCTAGGTAACATATTAGTGTGATAATTATCCCATGTGCCCTAGTACTGTGCTGAGAGGGTTAAGCCATCAATTTAGAATTACAAAACCACTGACCTTTAGAGCTACAAGAACCCTTAGAAATGATTTCTTCCAACTCTTTATTTCATAAAAGAGATCTTGAGAGGCAGTGTGAGCTCTCACAGGCAGCCAGGATTAAAATGGCAGCATATTGGCTCTCAGTCCGGGGCTCCTTCTCCTCACATCCACAGCTCAAGGTCTGCTCTCCTTCGCAAAGCAGAGATCAGGCTCAGATAATTGTGCAGCCCCAGAACATTTCCCAGGAGCTAAACGAAGGCATTTCTTCTCATACACAAGCTTCCCAGGTCCCACCCAGCCTGCACCCTCACCCGGCCCTGCCGTCCGGTGATGAGACCCTAAAGAGGTCACAGGCCTTGCCTGGGCTGCCTCTTCCTAACACCTCCTCCCCTGAACTCACTCAGGGACTGTCCCCTACAGCTTCACCACACATCCAACACCAGCCACAGAGAGGAAGCACACAGCCAGGCTGCAGGGTCCTGCCTCCCACCCACTTGGTGTGAGAAGACTCCCTGCTGCAAGACTGGAGGCTGCCCCAGGTCATAACTAGGCTTCAAGAATGCAACAACAGCAAGGATGATGGGCAGCAGAGAAGGAGAATTACATGGCACCAGTTCTGGAGCTGGAGATGTCAGGATATGAGTTCCCATCCCTGTCACTTAGCCGCTATGTGACCCTAGGCCAATTCTTAACCTCTCCAAGCCTTCATTTCCTGATTTGAAAAACAAAATTATGCCTACTTCACAGGGTGGTTTTGTGAATTCAAAGAGACAGCAAAGGCAAAGCACCATGCCTGACAATTATTTTTCTAATATTATTATTAATCATAATGGTAAAATAACTCCTGTTCACTGGCTTTCACTCTCAGCCAGGCACAGTGCTAACTGCTTTACATTATTATCTCATTTATTCCCCACTACAAACCTGAAGTAAATGCTATTAATTCAATTTCACATTTAAGGAAGTATGCTTAAAGGCATTAAGTGAATTGCCCAACGTCACACAGCGATTAAGTGGAGGGGTTAGGATTCAAAACCAAGACTGACTCCAAAGCCCATGATGACATTTGTAGGTTCCACCTTTCACATTTATTATTTCATCCAATTTTAGAAACCTTGGGAATCACGTGATTAGCAGGTCCCAGGGGAAAGTATTCCACTGACAACCAAGCTGAGATTGACAAGGACCATTGGGGAATGGGGGATTTGGTAATCTAATTTTCTAGTTAGTGCAATGTTTACTAGAAGGCTTTGTTTATTGCTAAATATTTTCTAAAGCAAGGCTCAGAGCAAGAACTTGCCAACCAGCATACTTACATGGCCACGGAGGGTCCAGCCACCAGCACCATGTCTTCCTTTCTGCTGAAGATCTCCACTCTCCTCTTCTTCTCGCAGGGGCCCAAGGCTCAGGAAGGAACGTGCTGACCATCCCTGGGGATGAGGGGACCTATGCTCTTTCCTAGCTCTGCGGGACTGAGATTCCTCATGACTAATATGAAAGGATGAGCTGGAAGATCTGCAAGATTCACGAGAGCCAGAGAGGGCAGCTAGTCCCAGTAAAGATGAACCTGGACTCCAAGCACCTCAAACAGTTTCTATCGTTAGTCACCACGACTGCTGATATTTGCTGCACACTCACTGTTTAGACATACTGGGCTGCGGACTTGCCTGGCATTATTTCATCCTCACTGCAGCCCCGTGATAAAGGCATTGTACTTTCATCTCCACTTCACAGAGAAAGAAACAGAGGCTCAGAGACGATAAATGACTTGCTTAAGCGCACACCGCTAGTGGCGGAGAACCAGGATTTGAAGGCCGGGCGCTTACTATAGTAAACATTTGGTGAATGAAACCTCCTCTGTCTATGCTCTTAGCTACTAAGTCCTACCAAGCTCGCCCCATAACCCCGAAGTCATCCCTTTCCACGCGGATCCTTGTTTCTCCCAAGAGCAGGCTCTAAGTGTTGGCTGGCATAAAGTAGGCGGACACTGGTCGCTCTGCACCTGGTGCAAGACTCCAGCCTGAGGGTCACATACTTTAGCAGAGTTCCCATCAGTGAGCGGGAGACGGGTTCCTACACACACACGGAGTCAGGAGTCCACTGGGTTCCTACTTCAGAGGCTACCCCGGCACTGCCAAGCAGGCCGTGGCAAGCTCTTACACCGGACACACATGGTACGTGCCCCACTCGCCCCCAAGGCGCCTAGGGATCAGCTGCAGGCCTGCCCGGGTTGGCAGTTCGGGAGGCCCAGGCCCGCTCCGCGCACCTCGCGTGGCTCCCCACCGCCCGCGTCAAATGCGCACCACCCATCACCTCCCAAAGCAAAAGGGCCTGAGGACCCAACGCCAGTGCCTGCCACGAGCTGAGGCCTCCAACTGGCAAGCCCCAGGGCGCTGCCCCGGTCCTCAGCCCCCGACCCTGAGGGTCCACCCCCGCCCCGCCCACCTCCCGCGCCTCCCTCAGCTCGCTTCACACGACACCCCTCAGTTCTGCAAACTCTCCTATCTCCGGAAGGCGTCCTAGAACCTCCCCCTCACTCTGGGGCCCGGCACCGCATCGTCTCCTCCAGGGGGTCGAGGGTTCGGCCCCTCCACTCCAAGTCCCAGACGGGTGTCAGAGTCCGCGCCAGCCCCGAGCGCGCGCGTCTTACCTGAAGCCTGGGCTCCGCGGGACTGAAGCCACCTCCGCCAACACGTCCAGGAGGCCCCACTGCGGCGCCACTTTCCCACACCGCCGCCGCCCCCAGCGCCAGCTCCTGGCCCAGGAGGCCCAGGCAGCCAACGCAGGTTTGGCCGCGCCGCCGGGTTCGCAGCCTCCGCCACCTCCAGGTTCGCAGGTGTCCCTCGTGCGCCTGCCCGGCTGGCGAGCCCAGCGCGGAGCCTGTGCGCGTGCGCAAAGCCGCGAGTTCAGTCGCTCCGGTCCCGGCCAGAACCACCCCCTTGGCTCGCGGAATCCTGGGAGGTGTAGTTTGCGTCCGAGGACAGCCCGCGCCGCCACCAGCCTGCGGAATGTTGAGAGTGACAATTTGCTCCCAGAGAGGCTGAGTTTTATTTAGTGTTAGGATTACACAGTTATGGGAGTTCTGATAATAAATTTAAATGCAAGCTTAACGAACAACCAAATGTCATTTGTAAAGTCAGAGTAATAGGTTTACATGCTTTTAAAAATTGTAATGCTACAGAGAACTTAAATACAAAAGTACCAGTCCTCTGCGGCACCATTTCATTAACCAGCTGTCACCTTATCCCACTGTCCAGTCCTGGCTGTCCAGTCCTCAAGGGCAGCTACTTATGGCTGTGGCATCTGGCATTCCCGCGGATTCTAAGAATATACATATGCCCCTCTTTCTCAATTTATGAATTTTAGATCTATTGACTTCTTTCTTAGATCTCTTGACTTTTTTTGAATTTAAGTCATCTAGAGATGCACCTATCACCACCAACTCCACCTCCATAGAGTTATAAGATTTCTGCTTATCAAATTGGGAAAGCCATGCCTTTAGTTTATAATGATTTTAAATTAGCCCAAATGTTTAGGTATTAAGTTGGTAAATTTATGCAGGGCAATTTGTCAGTTCAGCCCAAAGCCTTTAAAAACATGTAGTCAAAAGCCTCTAACCAAGAATTTCTAATAATTGTGGATGACTGCAAAGGCGGAATAGGGTTGTTTAGATGATAATAAACTGAAAGGCTGAAGTGGTGATACTACTTTCACAGAGAGTAGAATCGAGAGCGAGGAAAATTACCAGGAATAAAAAAGGGATAATTATATAATGATAAAAGGGTCAATTCACCAAGAAGCCATAATTCTAAATGTGGATGCACCTAACAACATAGCCTCAACGTAAATAAATCAAATGATAGAACTATAATTAGAAATAGACAACTCTGCAATTGTAATTGGAGATTTCAACATCCCTCTCTCAACAACTGATAGAACATTAGACAGAAAGTCAGCAAGGATATAGAAAAGCTCAACACTAAAACCAACCTGATATAATTGACATTTACATAATACTTCACCCACCAACAGAATACACATTCTTTTCAAGCAACCAAGGTATATATATTAAGATAAACTTTATCCTGGGTCATAAATTTTAAAAAATACAGAAGACATTAACATATATTTTACCAAAGTAGATATACAGATGGCAAATATGGACAAATGTTCAACATCACTAGCCATTAAGGAAATGCAAATTAAGACTATGCTGAGGTATCACCATACATCTATTAAAACAACTTAAAAAGACATAACGTGATGGCTTATGCCTGTAATCCTAGGACTTTGGGAGGCCGTAGCGGGTGGGTCACGAGGTCAGGAGTTCAAGACCAGCCTGGCCAACATAGTGAAACCTCGTCTCTACTGAAAATACAAAAAATAGCTGGACATAGTTGCGCGTGTCTGTAAACCCAGCTACTCAGGAGGCTGAGGTAGGGGAGAATCACTTAAACCCAGGAGGCGGAGGTTGCAGTGAGCCGAGATCACACCATTGTACTCCAGCCTGGGCAACAGAGCAAGATTCCATCTCAAAAACAAACAAACAACAACAACAACAACAAAAGACAGCTTAAAAAATAAAATAACAAATGCTGTGAGTATGCAAAGAACTGGATCTCTCATATATTACTGACTGGTGGGAATAGCTTGGTAGTTTCTTTTAAAAAACTAAGCATATACCTCCCATATGACTCGTCAGTCACACTCTTGGGCATTTATCACAGAGAAATGGAAACTTATGTCAACACACAAACTTGTACACAGTTGTTCCTACTTTCTTTATTTGTAATTGTCAAAAACTGTCAGGAAACAAAATGCCCCTCAATAGGTGAATGGTTAAATAAACTGTTATTACATCTATATAAGGAATATCATTCAACAATAAAAAGGAACAATTGACACATGCCACAACTTGGGCATTATGCTGGGTGAAAAAATTCAGTCTCAAAAGGTTACATACTGCATGGTTCCCATTTGTATAACATTCTTGAAATGTCAAAACTATAGAGATGGAGAAAATATTAGTGGTTGTCAGAGGTTGAAGACAGGGTGTAGGTGTAAATATATAAGGGTAACAGGAGGGAAATCTTTGTACTGATGAAATAGTTATTTGTCTTGATTGTGGTAGTGGTTACACAAATTTACACATGTGATAAAATGACTAAAACTATACACAAACTTTCTACCAAGGTTAAATTCCTGATTTTTATATTGTATTATAATTATGTACAATGTAACCATTGGGGGAAACTGGATGAAGAGATTCCTCTCTGTGCTATCTTATTATAGATTTTCACAAATCTGTAATTATTTCAAGATAAAAAGTAGGAAAAAAGAAACCAAACAAATTTGGAAATTGCTTAATTCCTCAGTCATACAGGTTTAAGTAAAATCACAAATCATCTCAGAAATCATTAAAAGGATGCTGCAAAATAATATTTACTTAATGCAGTGGAAGATATTTCACATTGTATCATATTTAATGAAAAAAGTATCGAACATTCCATATGATCCCATTTTTAAAAAGAACATATTTGTGCACAGTAAGAGCACAGAGCACAGAAGGATATCAACAAAATTTCAATGAGCCATGACCCAGTGTGGTAAGATTATGGGTGTTTTTATTGCCATCTTGCTGGTTACCTGTATGAATTTATTTCTGAAATGAACATATATTGTTTTGTTATTTTAAATACAAGTTGTTTTAAAAACTTCTACGTTTTAAAAGCTCCTATGTTGAGTTTATGAGTCTCCACAAGATAGCCAGTCATAGTCACTGATGGAAAGAGGCACCTAACAGCCCAAGAGAGCAGCCCCTTGCTGGAGGTGGACAGGGATTGGGTTCTGGCCAAAGCCGAATCTCCTGGATAGGATCTAACAGGATGGCCTGCAGGTCACCTAGGACCCAGTTTGCACACACTGATCATCTTTGAGTCCATCATTTTTTGAAAACTATTCTGGCTGTGGAGCATTGCTTGTAGGAAGCTTTAGTAGACTGGAAAAAACTAGTACATTTCTTTTTATTAAATATCCAAGTTGGGTTAGGTAGCTGGCTTTTTGAGGTCTTTCCCAGCATTTTAAATCCATATTCATGTGCACCAAGCTGAGTTTGGCATTCCTCAAGGCCAAGCCCTCTCCCTTTCTCTAGGGTCACGTTCCCTTTCTATTTCTCTGTGTGGATGCCTTCCAAGCCCACATCTCTAGCCCTGAGTTCCAGATCCACATTCCCAATCCAAGTTGCTTGGGGCATACACACCTCCACCTGCCTGGCCTGCCAGCATCTTAAAATCTGCATGATGAACATGGTGGTGATGGTAAAGACTGGGATGGTTTTTCAATATGTCTACAAATTATTTGACTGTTTTTCCTTTGAAAGGGGGAGTCTAGTTCCCTTTTCCTCAAGTACGGTCATAACTTAGTGACGTACTTCTAATGAACAGAAAATGTCAGAAGTGATGCTATGTGACTTCTGAAACTGGGTCATAAAAGTGGTACAGCTTCTCTCTCTCTCTCTCTCTCTCTCTCTCTCTCTCTTTCCCTCTCTCTCTCTCTCTTTTGCTGTCTCTCTGGTTTCCCTGGGAACAGATTCACCATGTTGTGAGGAAGCTCAGGTTACATGGAAAGGACGTGCATGAGTGTATTAATATGCTAGAACTGCCATACCAAAATTTCACACACTGGGAAGCTTAAAAAACAGAGATTTACTTCTCACAGTTCTGGAGCTTGGAAGTCCAAGATCGAGGTGTCAGCAGGGTTGGTTTCTTCCGAGGCCTCTCTCCATGGCTTGAGGATGACCGCCTTCTTACTGAGCCCCCACATGCCTTTTCCCTGTGGATGCCCATCCTTGTGTCTCTTTTGTGTCCCAGTCTCCTCTTCTTATGAGGATACCAGTCAGATTGGATTATGGCCTAACCCTAAAATGAGCCTATTCACCTCATGTTAACTCAATTACCTCTCAAAGGCTGTATATCCAAGTACAGTCACGTTCTGAGGTATTGAAGGTTTGGGCTTCCACATATGAATTCGAGGGCAGGGGGATATCATTCAGTCCATAACAATGGGTATACCAGCCAGCAGCCCCAGCTAGGCTTTCAACTGACAACCAATATAAATTGCCAGACGTACGAGCGAATGAGCCCTCAGATGACTCCAGCCCTGATATGGTTTGGCTGTGTGTCCCCACCTAAATCTCATGGTGAATTGCAGTCCCCAATGTGTGGGAAGGACCAGGTGGGAGGTCATTGGATCATGGGGGCAGGTTTCCCCCTTGCTGTTCTAATGATAGTGAGTGAGATCTCACGAGACCTGATGGTTTAAAAGTGTGTGGCACTTCCTGCTTTGCAAGCTTTCTCTCCTGTCACCATGTGAATATATGCTTACTCCCCCTTCACTTTCCATTACGATTGTAAGTTTCATGAGGCCTCCCCAGCCATGCTTCCTGTATGGCCTGCAGAACTGTGAGTCAATCGGGCCTCTTTTCTTTTTTTTCTGAATGAGTGAGGGAAGGAAGATACATCCTCTAGTAGTAAATACTCTGGGTTTCATTGAAAAAAAGTCCATTTGGTACATATCCTGGGAAATACATGACTGAGAACCCTGTGAACTGGCCTCCACACACCCTACAGGACAATCGTGGGTCACTTGCTTGGATCTGTTTAGTGGCTCATTTATGCAAATAGATACAGTTACCCCCTGAATATAGCTGCTTCTGAAATCTACAACTCAGTAATTTACTTCAGTCTTTCTTGCCCCACATCTTGGATTTCTTGGAGGATAATTCCACCAGAAATGTAATGGTCAAAAATAGTGTACATATTGGGAGGCCAAGGCAGGCAGATCACTTGAGGTCAGGAGTTTGAGACCAGTCTAGCCAAGTGAGCCAGGCCTGTCCTCACTTGA